CCTTCAAAAACAAAATCCGGTTGCTATTTTAATTAACCCGGCTCAATGGAGCAGAAACTTGATTACTTACAAACACCGTTAACGCATTGAAGAAAAAAACTCCATAAATGTTTTACACACACACACCAATACGTGTGCGTGATCTTAATGATAATTATTAATGGATAACAAGTAACCATTAGCATTGTTGTGGGGAATATAAGTAAACAAAAATAAGAAATTCGCCTCCTGCCCATATCTGTCCATCCACGTAAAAAAAAATTGCGTTTTTTTAAGATTCCAACAGCTTTAAGGCCTTCTAGGAATGCCTCACTTTCGCAACATTTATTCGACGCAAATAAACCCTGAATCGGTGATGACATCAAGTGTCTCATCAGCAAAGTGAAGCTTGCTTGAATCAATGCTGGTGAACTACCAGACGCGCTTCGTGGTAAGGACTCTCCCCTCTGGGCCGACATTGATTCGTTTTATCACCTCCACATTCAAATGTGACTTGTGCTGTAACTTTAACAGTGCACACGCAATGTCACTTATTAACCCAGCAAAGCCTCACTGAGTCTCAAGATTGTATACTATTTAACATTTTTTTATTTTACCAGGTAGGGCCCACCGAGTTATATAGCTCTTTGTTTTAGAAGCGAACTGGCCAAAAATTATAGCTCAACGAAGTGACTGAGTTAATTGGACAACTTGATTAATGTTTTTGCATGTGGATAAAAACGTGTACACGTGGCGAGATGTTAACTACCTCGCCTGGTATGCTGGAGGTCGTGGGTTCAATCCCGACTCTGACACCTGTTTATTTTGACGTTTGCATGTTCTTCCCGTGGTCACGTGGGTTTTTCTCCGGGTCCTCCGGTTTTTCCTACACATTTAGAAATGAGCGTTTAGAGTATTTGACTGCTGTACATTTCCACGTAATAAGTCACTTCGTTGAGCTATCATTTGTGGCCAGGTCGCTTCTGAAAAAAAGCTCAATAGCTCTGTGGCTCTTACCTGGTAAATTACAAATTGTTCAGATTCATCCTAAAGTTTTTTTTGGATTAAATCGCATGAATATCATTGTGTCATTAAACCCGCCACCACCCGACACAGCCAACTAGTAAGGGTTGTCACGTAAACAGAACGTGCCAATTCATCACTAGTACAGCAACACCGGTGTGTTGGAGAGCCAAGCCACAACATTTACAGTCTGAGTACGACGTTTCGCCAGTAATTGCAACTAGCTTCATCAGGCGACAGCCAGATTTGTGGAGAAGTCTGTTTCGTTCCTTATATAGAGGCGTAGATGTGGTGACCACGCTGTTGCGCTCTTGCGCAAAGTAGGGGGAGGAGGGGGTTAATGAGCCAACATACATTATGCATGTACATTATTCGAGCACATTGATCTTGTCCTTCCGGTCCATTGTGTGTATTAAAATAGCCGTACCAACGGTAATCCCTATTGAAGTATGGTGGCCTGTATAGGCATGCATTTAAACGATGCATTATTTGACGATTCGCTTCCACGCAGCACTAAGTCGGTAGCTATCCGAACGGTTAAAATTATTTTTCTTTATTTCAATTTCGATAGATTATCTAATTAGTCTTGGCCAGTAGTAGCTAGTTTTGCACAGAACTTTAACATGATCAAAATCAATTAAGTGTCCTTGTTGGCACGCGTATTCTGCTACTGCTGACAGTTGTATTTGGGAGTGTCCACGATTAACAGCACTTGTGGCAAATGTTATGTTGGGCAAACAGGATGAATGATCAGCACGATACGTTGAAATATTCCGAGTATAACGAGGGCGTGCAGAGGGAGCGGCGGTGCAGCGGTTACCAACTCGGCCACGCCCCCCCGAGCTCACGGCCAACACCAGTGACGAATTACCCAAACCGGTCCTGGGCATCATATAGGTCGACTCAGCCTCAAATGAGTACCGGGTGTGGTGTGTAGTAAACATCGGCCACTGGGGAAGAGACAAAGGCGGTCGGGCGTGGTTCTGGCCACAGCGTACTCCCATCGTGTGCCGCAGTGCCGGCCATCATAGGTGCTCCAAGCTAGACAGCACTTGCCCCAACAGTCGAGTTAAGGTTATGGGAGTGGGGGGTGGCGGGGGTGGGTGCTTTGTCTGTGTTTGTAGAGGGAACTTTTGACATGTGGCCGAGGTGAACGATCAATCATGGGAGTGAGTGCGTCCTGGAAGAAGGGGTCTAAACGGCGAGACGGAGCCACGTGACATCGGGTGGCGTGCGCAGAAGCTGGATGGGATTTTGTTGTGCATCGCAAGGCCACGAGAGATGGTGAGAGGTCGCAAGAGAAAAAAATTAACCCGTAAAAACAAAGTTTTTCACTATAAATCCTTTATATGGGTGGCATCGGTTTTATTTTATTATTCATTTCTGTTTATCATGAGTAAGAGTTTCATTTTTATCACATTGGTATTTGAAAGTAAATATGAAAACATTTTCTTCCTAAAAAATGGAAAATATTGGAATTTTTTTTCACTAAAATAAATTGTCACGCACAACGAGTCTGTGTGCAAAATGTCGGCTCGATTGGATCACGGGAAGTGGGTTAAAAAACGACCGAAAGATTTGCACGGTCGTAAGCGCACAAGCAAGCAAGCAAGTGAACTTAATATTAAGGATTTAAAAGACTTCACGCGAAGGCAAAATGTGTTCCATAACATTGGTCTGCCTGTACATGTCACTGTGAGAGTAACCTCCTCCGATTAGCACGGTTGGCTACGTACGGTGCGAAAGAAGTTCAACATACATACATAGGTCACGTAGGTAGGTGTGATTTATTTTATACCTACGTGACTTTACCGAAAGAACCAAAGAGTATATGGATTTCTGCAGTCACGAAAGCTTGAAATCAAGATTCATAGCCCATTCTGGTCGTTTGATAGGCCTCTTAAAACATAAGTGTGAAGATGTTTGTATGTCAATTATCACGGTTGGCTACGTACGGTGCAAAAGAAGTTCAACATACAGGACATACAGGACTTTCGCACCCTACGTAGTGAACCCTGCTCATCGGAGGTGTGGCGGGGGGAGACCGCAATGATGAAAACATGACTGGTTTCATGTTGTACGCGTTCAATACGGTGTTTTGTAGGTTATGGTTAGTGTATTAAAGATATTTGTCAAAATCTCTATTTGGAATGGGCTTTTAAAAAGAAAGCCGTAGGTGTAGAGGGGGCGCAGCAGTTAGCACATTGGGCGATGAATCTGACCTCCAGAGTTCAATTCCCGGACTAAGCTAACATCTCTCAAAGATGTTCACATCTTAAAAATATCTTAACCAGTCCCGAGTGCCAACCACCCATCCACGTCACCCCCTTCGCCAACATGCAAGGACCAGAGTGGAGAAGTATGGTCAAACGCGGCGTGGGGGAGGGTTCACCCATCAGTAAGACTGAGAAATGAGCCGTGCATATTCATAACCGTTGACATCAAGAATGTACAAATCCGGGCAAGGGCGTTATATTAAGAAATGTTTATTGATTCTTATTTTTTGTTGGCATACACAAGCACAATTCAGTCTAAAAAAAAAGAAGCAGCAAAGAGATACATACAATTGTACACTTTACAGACAGAACACCCATAATCCTCTCATCACAACAAGGTCAACGAACATCGACTGAGAGAATGCACAGCCTGAAAGAAGCGAGAGGGAGGGAGGGCCCCCCGCCCCTGCCCCACGCCCCCTCGCACTCATCGATAAGGAGGGAGGGAGGGGAAAATACACAAGTTTTTTTTGCCTTTTTTTACTGCATCAAAATTTTTTTTAGCACACGGACAGAAGCGAGGCTTGAAAAAAGTCTCCCCCCCCCCTCCAACTCCTCTCTCTCCTCCACTCCCCCCCCTCCCCACAACAGACCTCCCAACTCCCATCTTATCAAGCGTTGAAACATTTAAACACAAACCAAAAAAAGGGATAGGAGAGATAGTACTACAAATTCACAAGCGAGGTACTGTACATATGAACGGACTGGGGGGGGGGGTGTGTGGGACAACCTGAAAGGCGGTGTGGGTTTTTTTGAGGCATTCGTTAGGCCAAGTTGCACGCGCGCACACACAACACTGCCGGCTACGCACAAGGCAGCCAGTGGCGGTGGCTTTAACAAACGCCGATACATCGTTCCATGTTGAACGCAGAGGAAGGGGACCGAACCCCCCCCCCCCCCCACGCTCTTACCCCTTTGGGGGAAGGGGGGGGGGCAGCCATGAGCCCCAACCCCACCTTCAGGTCAAGGAGGTCCACCAGTGTTACTCGTCACAACACTTCAAGCGGCACAACATCGGCGCACCGGCCAATTCCGAGGCACTTGCCTGCAACGGTACGTTCGGTTCAAACGTCAATGCAACGTTGTTTCCCCGCCACTACCAAAAGTGTACTTTTTTTTCTTCAAATTCCTCGTCTGGTTATGTTGGTTAATTGCAGTTGTTACAACATGTGAATATCAGGTTGAGCAAGGATTAAAAAAAAAATGTTTTTGCAAAAAAAAAGGATGAAATTGAAACTTCTGACTGAAATGCAATTTTTTTTTTTAAAAAGGACCTTGTTGGGAAAAGATTTCCATCAACATAGTTTCTAGACCGTCACTGAAGCGACTTATTTTGTTTCTATTTACGCCGATCACATTGGAGCACTTTGGAGGATGACTGCTTCAGAGGTAAATGAGCTCCCTCCCATGCGCACCGAAGGGTGAACCCGGACATTTGAAAACCAGTGGCTGTACAATGTTGCAAGTTGCCACGACCAACGAGGGTGCAACGTTTGCAAAGTTGGGATAACCATTGCCCCCAATACCTGACCACACCACACCCACTCACCAATGCAACTCTTCAATGTATTTGAGCATCAAACGGCTGATACCGGACCAATTATACAACGCGGGGGCTGCATTGCTGACTTATTATTGAGCCAGCCGTGGTCAATATTGGGTGGTGGTCTTCAGTTATTAAAGAGTCGCATCCACTCTCAAATGTAGAAGTTTTCTTAAAACAAAAAGTTAAGATATTAGGATTGCTTTTTTTTTCATTTTTTCCTAGTAATTGTGCCTGTAAGCTCAACTCATTTTCACTTTACAAAATGTTGCATCGTGGGTTTTAGTTCACTCAATTAGAACATGTCTACATACTTTAAAACTTCAGGTTTAGACAATAAATTTGGACAACGCTCAGAATTTAAAATACTGCAATGTCCAACTCAAGAATGATCTTGATTTAAAGGGTGCCTATATTTTATTCTACTTCAAATATAATCTCACGCCAATAGAACTGTCCAGGAATGGTTGCGCAAGTTGCAAAAGCTTTCAGCCAAGTTTAAAAAGCAAAAACTAAAAACTTCTTTTTTGTATTAAAAAAAATGGGTCTGGTAGGTATTGGGGTGAACGGCATTACCCCACTTGCGACAAGGAACAATGACAACAGCAAATCAACCGGGAAAAACCACATTTCTTAATTTGCACGAGAGCGTGGTGGTCGACATTTGAAAATTAAATAGCTTTCTTTACCAAGCACACGATTTGTTTGTGTACAGCCTTTCTTGCCAATCCACTTTGGCACCAGGGTAGCGAGATGTTAACGAGCTCGCCTGTTATACAGGAGGTCGTGGGTTCAATCCCTACCCCGACGCCTGCTGTATATTTGGAGCTTACATGTTCTCCTCGTGGGCGTGTGGATTTTTATCGGGGTCCTCCGCTTTTTTCCCCCTCCACATTTAGAATCAACGTGCGCTTGCGAATATTTGGCCGCTGTACGTTTCCACGCGATGATAAGCCACTTTTCGTCGAGCTATCATTTGTGGCCAGGTCGCTTCTGAAAAATAGCTACAATTAAAGTAGTTTAGATTTAGTTGAAGGCAAATAGCCAAGTGTGCCACACTCTTCCTCGCCCCCCCCCCCGACACACACACGGACGGACGCAGCCGCACCAATCCACGCAGGCGGCAGTCGCCGTCTACCCATCGCCGGCCAAAGATGCGAGAAAAATGATCGAGCCATTGCCAGAGGAGGGTGAGAAGAAGAAAAAGAATTCCAAACGCTGAGTCTTGAGGTACTGTAGAAAATGAAGAGACCATTTTTGCTATTCTTCTGTTGCGGGTGCAATGAGGTATGTGATTGTGGAATAAGTCCAGAAAAATACATGTCCATTGTCCAAAAAAAAATAATGAATATAAATTCCAAACTGAAAGACAACAACAAAAACAGCTGAGCCCCAAAACAATAAAATACGAAGCTCTTGCTTTTCCTCCAAATAAAGCGGTAAAATAATATAGTTTAAAAAAAAGTACATAAAACTTAGCAGCACACGTTTTAAAACAATACGGCAATGTATCGTTTCGTTTTTTTTTTAGTTTTTGTCTTTTTTTTCTCTTTTTAGTTATTACGACACATAAACGTAATAGTTCAACTGAAGCACTCGGTAGCAGCTAATGTCTTAGGAGCTCTCTCCTCCCTCCACTGTTATACAATCATCTCAGTAGGCAGTGCCATTGCCTTCATCCCTCATTCATCTCAGCCCCAATTGCGCACCCCCCACCCCCCCACCCCCGTTTCGACAGATTACCTTTTTTTTTGACATGTGCAAAACAAAAACGAAGTCACGAGACAACTAAAATTAAGGACGGGGGTAGGAGAGGGAGAGGGCAAGGGGTGGGGGGGAGGGAAATAATCAATTCATACATACAAAACTGAAATGTCAAAATAAAATTGCGGAAATTATTGTGATATTAAAAAAAAATACACGATCATAATTTTCAAGTAGACTGACCCAACAAAATTAATAACCCACTTTTTTTTAAATTTGTTCCTTCCTTGCATCTATTGTGGTGCTGTACGCAGACATTTAAACTTCTCGATTACAGCATTTGATCTCGCAGGAGGGCTCTGCGAAGCAGGCAACGCTGCCTCGTATCTTACGATCCGATCTGGCATCCCCCCCCCCCCCCCGCAAAACCTGGGAATGCACTGGGGACCACAACTCATGGAATGTCTTTCTTATTGACGAGTCCGCACCGTTACCTTAAATTATTCTCCTTTCAATTATTACAATTGAAATTGTTACGAACAAAAATTATAAATTCTCCCCACTTTTCTTAAAACCCGCATGCATCAAGCATTTCCGCTGGACCAATGAACCCACCCCCACCCCGCCTCTGCCTCCTCTTCTTCTCAACCAAATATTCACAAAGTGCTCATGAGGGATCTGATGGAATGGTTAAACTAACCAAGACCTAAGTGTAAATAAACACCTGCATGTAACTGCTGGCTATAAAGGAAAACACTCGCTCGCGTTACACACTTATTGAGTTTAAATTAAAAGCCTATGCGCATATTAATACCCAGAAGTACAACCCCCTAAGATTAAAACGAAAAAAATAAAGATCTCGTTTTGTTATTAAAATGTGAAAAGGCTTTAACCGAGGACAACTCTCCCCTTGCTATCAGTGCGCGTCGTGGTTCTTTCATATACACGGCAGTTAACTTTTGCTGGCTTAATGCAACTTAACGTCTGGCAGTGATTCCTTTCCCAACGCCAAATGGAAAAGCAACAAAAAAATTCGCAAACCCTGCAGCACTCGAAGAAACCAGCTTACGATAACTACGACGGCCATCCCCCCCCCAGCACTGCATCACTTTTCTTCAAGCGTTCGCTGGCGTAAAGGTTAAACAAATTGTTTCCCATGTCTTTACTCAACTTTGTATTACTGTGTTACTTAGAATAATCGTATTACTATTATCCTCCAAAGCACATTGCTTTGTGTATTTGTATTTTTTACTCTTAAGATGATACAATACTGAAAAGCAACAAGCACAATAATACATGTTTAACCCTTATTGAAGTCTTCAAGAAGCTATAAATTAAAAACACCCAGGAAAGATAGTATTAATGCTCACTGGTGTATTGTCAAGTTTAAGCATGTATGTCAAGTGATTCATCCCTATTTCAGACAAACCCCCATCGTATTAAGGCAGTGTCGGCTATGCAAAGTGTCCGTGAATTACTTAAGGACCAATGCGTGAAAGGCACAGCAGTATTCAGGACATGTGGAAGCAAATCCCAAGGTGGCAGGGCCCATCGCCTAGCATCTCGGTCATGAAGTCAACAGATGGTTCTTAGTTTTTTTTTAAGTTAGGGGAGTTGTTATCGTTGTTTTAATGTCTCGTTTAATAAATAACAAAGGGTTCGTCTTCGACGGTCGGCCACGCGTTCGGGCGAGCTGGCCAGAGGCAAGTATGTGTATATATAAACCAGCTGTAAAATGTGTTTTACCCCAACTCCTTCCCCCCAATGTTTTTGTCCACAATTGATTTCAATGCAAGCAGCAAATGCTCCTCCCCTCCAGTCCACTTGTCATACCTGTACAATACGCCCCCCCCCCAACCACCCCGTTTCTCAGTACGGTTTAATTTCGGACCAATAACTCTTTATTGTACTCTGCACGACCGACAGTTGAACAAGCGCAAGCATGCGCGGTAACGTGGGGGGGAAGACAACGATTTAAAAAAGTAATTTGACACGTGACTTGTTCATCTGTGGTAACGGTTTTTGTTGGGTGAGATCGTGTAAACGTGTCGTACCCCCACCTCCACCCGATACAGCCACAATTATAGTAAGGTTGCTGTCACGTAAACAGAACGTGCCAATTTATTACAGGGGGTTCATGTTATTCGTAAAATTTGCCAAACAAAATCAAGTTATCGCGTGGCCAAATGTGCCAATTTAGTTTTACGAAATCGATTACGTTGAAAAGCCAGAAAATTACAATTTTGGACCAGTTATCAATCGTAGCATTGGCCACGAAAGCCTATGCATATTAACACTCAGCATATGTTAATACGCACACGGCTTGGCAAAATACATCTCACCAGAATAAATGCAAAAAGTATCGGCCCAAATTTAAACCAGTAATTGAACCTTCCAAGCAAGTACAAAAGGATACAAAAAACATGAACTGATCATTTAAACGTGAAAAGAATGGCCACTTCAAAACAAACTATTCGTCTGACCCTCAAAAAACCTTCCAGTCTGCAAAACTCTAGTCTACTTTACCTACATCCTTTAACATCGCAACTTACCTACAATCACTTTCTCCGCACTCATCGGCATCCTACGTCTCTTAAAAGCTGCTCTTTATACATATTGTACACTCCTCTCTGTTGTGACAGTTCTTGTCTACTCAATTAAGGTGTAAACGTTGCTTGGCTAGCCGTCTTCCCGGGCACCAACGATAGGGAAACAACACAGACCACATCGCACGCGTTCATTATAAAAATAGAGGGGATGGGGGGGAGGGGGGCAGGTCATCTTTACTTTAAATTTCATTTCACGAAAAAAAGACAAAAGAAAAATCACAATCAAGGGGTTTTTTTTGTCATTGGTGCTAACACAACCTTTCAGCCGCTCAACCCCAGGGACACGCGCGCACACGCAGACATCGCTGCTTAGAAATTCCTCTTTTAACTTACGGTCTCTCTCAGTCCAACACAATGACGACCATCGAACGAAATTCAGTCGCGAGCTCACAACAAGGGCAAAAACTCGGCCTGGTAGACATGAAACAAAAATAATAAACAATTCAACTTGTCTTCGCGTAAATGTCTTTCTCTTCCTGCCGTCCAACATTTCATATTCGTTTTCTTGCAGGAGTTCAAGGCAAAAGGGGGGGGGGGGGGTAAAACTCTTTAATGGAAACATTACGGTGCCAACCAGACCAAAGTGAAACTGGACGTGAGAATGGCAAGGGAAGTGGACGTTAAAAAATGGTGAGGGTGTGGCAGGGGGGTTGTGATGGTGGAGATGGGGAGAGGAAAAAAAATAATTAAAACGTAACGGGCCACAACCTGGAACAAGCTTCAATTCGTCCAAAAGGTGACTTCAAGGGCAGTGATGCTGGCTCGGACGAAGGGGGCCTTGGGCCCCCAACCCACCCCACCCCGGCACCCCTCCCATCGTGGGGCTGTGCGGTTGCAATCGGGCAGCGGCGGTGGCGGCGGCGGCAGCAGCAGCAGCAGGCAGTGTGGACAAAACCTAAGCACAGCAGCTGTCCACCCCCGCCCCTTGCGGCTCCGCTATCAAGCAGCGTGTCGGGCGAGCACAAGGGGCGGTAGCGGCGTTGAGTTTCTTCTCTCCTGGTTTCTCGTTTTCGCCGGGAGGATCATCGTCAGGAGGGGGTCGAGTCGAACGCCTCCCCCCCCCCCCCCACAAACCAGCGGGTGCGGTCAGAGTGCGACGTCTCGCACGTCCGTGGGGGTGCCGGCGATGTCGAGCTCGTCCACGCCGCGCGACTCTGGGGAGCCCTGCTGAGCCTGCCGGAGGCTCGCCTCGAGAACGCCCTCGATCTGCTCCTGGCAGGCCCGAAGGCAGTCCTGCAGCGGGACGAGAGGGGTTAGCACCTCCGGCCATCATCGCCGCCACCACCACCACCACCAGCATCAGCAGCATCAGCAGCAGCGCGATCGTCATTGTTACCATCGTCATCATCACCAATATCATCGTTGTCACCACCATTATCAGCAGCGCGGTCATCATCGTTACCCATCGTCACCACCACCACCACCAACATCATCATCGTTACCCATCGTCACCACCACCACCACCAACATCATCATCAAGTGTCAAAGGCATCGATCATCACCACGGTTTATAAATGATTAACGCCAAATGCAAGTCAACAGTGCTCCCTCCTTGGCAAATCACCAGAGGAATGTGTAATTTCCACCCGTGGCTAAATGCTCCCCTCCCCTCCCTCTGGGGAATAGAACCAACCAGCGTGCACTCACTTGAAGCAGGGTCACGCTTTCACGTGAATGAGCACGTCTAGCGGTGCCCATCACTTTTATGGAGATGCTCCCCAGCAAGTGTGGAGGCCTGTGCTCTAATACCAGGCCTGAGCCGGCACTACTGTGGCATGGGGGGGGGGTGTAAGCAGGACTATGTAGTAATGATGACCCCATAAAAAACAGCAGCATCTATTGTGGAAAGTTTAGTTTTTTTCCCCCTTCAAGCTGTAGGATGAAATTAGGCGGCTATTGGGTAAAGAGAGGCCTACATGAAACGCAAACATTGCAGTCGCCCCACCAACACCACCGATTCTTTCTTCACTCTCCGTGACGAGGTTCTGAACCACCGACACAGCAACGACAAGGAGCGAATCTAGTCTGTAAGACGTGAACAGAGCACTTGAGGGAATTTGTGAAACGACTGACTTCTGTTTAAAACAGTACACCTGTGTTGCCCGACAGTGCCAAATAATAAACTCAAGCTAATCACCACCAAGCTTTGGAAAACTATTGTTATTCAACCAAAGGCACAATCAAAAGAAATCTGAATATTTGTTTATTCTGAAGGAATCCGATGAGCTATAGTAGGGGTGGGTGAGAATGTCAATTCATTTATCGAGACTCTGGAATAAAGGCCTAAATTCATACAAAGATGGAGTTGACTGGGCTATTGCAACCAAATATCTAAAAAACGTTGACAGTTTTCCCACCAAAAGATGCATGATAGCGCGCGCACTCTTCCGTGAATTTCAACAACCCCCAAAGAATTCTGCAGAAGCAACCGTTATCTGGACCCATCAGGATGCGCGGTGGTTCTGGGGCGGACAGTGCGGCAGGATGGGCAAGCCAAAAAAATACGACTCGTGAAACAAACAGGCTGGATTAACCACAATTCTGCACCGCTGTAGGAAAACGCGTGTTGTTATTGGCGAGCCAGTACTTGCTCTGGTCAGCATTAACATTACTTCAATGGTGTAAAAAACAACACCACACGAGGGCCCAATGTGAAACAGAACTATAAATGAGTTACACTTCCAAATGCATAGACAGGTATTAAAATAAACACGCAACTTCGCACGAATCCTCGAGCAGAACAAAAATCCCATTGTGGCACAGGCGCAAATGAGAAAGCCGTTTTCGGGGCGCGGAGGGGAGAGGGGGGGTTGAAGTGTAATTGCGCAAATGCAATCCAAATGGATTTTGTTCACGTAAATGAATGGCTTTTTGTGCGCCCCCGTGTAAAAATGATGCATTTATTACGAAATTGCTCCCAAAGGCAGTGAGAGCGTGGCTGCCATCCAGACAAGTTGCCATTTTTTTACAGAATTTTATCGCATGTAACTTTCCTACCCATTTCATCACCACCATTGTTACCCGCGCAAGTTACATAACGCGTCAGTAACATCATTTGTACAATTTTCCGCGGGACTTGTGCCGGGCACTCCCAGCACGAAGGGATCACAGTGAGAGGCATGCACACAAAGACAAAGATCCCCCGTGTAGCCTTAACAGACAGTTGGGGGCACAAGTGCTATTAAGCGAGTAGCACCTATGAAGGCCGGCACGGCACACGTGGGAGTTGGTGGGCAACACCACGCCCGACTGCCTTCGTCTCCCCAGCGGCGATGTTTTACACATCGCAACTGCTACTCATTTGAGGCAGAGTCGACCTAGGGGAGGCCCAGGACCGGTTTGCAGAAATTCGTCACTGGTGTTTGCCGTGAGCGGGAATCAAAACTCGGGACGCCAGGTTCGTAGCACGGCGCGCTGACCGCTACACCACTGCTCCCCCAACAGTGAGGCACGCACGCACACACGTACACACGCACGCACACGCACGCACACACGCACGCACACGCACGCACGCACGCACGTACACACACACACGCACGCACACACGCACGCACGCACACACACACACGCACACACGCACGCACACACACGCACGCACGCACACACGCGCCGCGCTCCTTCAAGCAAAAAGGGAAGTGTTCTTTAATGAGGCGACTCGTGTTACAGCAGCAGCAGCAGCAAGAACGTGGCTTGCGAGCTCGAGGCCTGGGGGGAGGTAATGGTGGTGGTGGCTATGGTGGTGGTGGTGGTGGGGGGTTGTGGTGAAGTGGGGTGGATGATGGGGAAAAGCGCAGGGGGGGGGGGGAAAGTGGTGTGCAAGGGAAGCTTGAATGGCCGGGGTAAGTCTTGCCCAAGGCGGGCTAGTCATTTAGGCCAGGAATCCAGAAGACCAAGATCAAAGGGCCTGCAGGAAATTGGAGCCAAACAAAGCCTTGTCTGAGGAACTCCACCACCACCCCCCCCCCCGTGCCCCCCCCCAACCACCCCACGACTACCCCAGCCACCTCAGCTCTCTTGTGCAGCGGGGAGACAAGGTTGGGTCCTAACCACCCCTCTCTCTTGACAGCGAACAACCCTGAACACCCCTTCCCACTGGGCACGGGGCCAGAAATAACAATGGTGCGACCGCTGGTGCCAATAAAAGGCCGAAATTCCTCGGCTTAACTGCACTCATTGATAAAAACCTCAAAAGACCAGGTTTTTCAAATGCGCTATTGAAGTGTACGAGCAAGGGAGGGGAGGGAATCGGGGAATCTCCGCCGGTCCCTCTCTCTCTTTTTATTTTCCACAGGGACGGTGGGGGGCGCGCGCTTTAGGCAAGCGTGCGATACTTTCATCGACTCGATGTGGACCGCAAAGGGGAAGACCGAGGGGGGGGAGGGGGGGGGGACTTGCAGTGGGCCTCGTTTTTTTTTTCACGGAGTGGTCCAGAGTTTAATAAACGGAATGCGACGTTCGCTCAAGCCCCCCCCCCACCCCACCACACACATTTCTCCGGCATCATAACGCCACCCACGTATAACGCAGGCCCCAGGGAGAGCGTTGGTGGGTGGCATAACTGGTTTGTGTATTTTCCGCCCATTCTAGAAAACAAGAGTTCTTGACGTTAACGGCAAAACGTGTCTAAATGCACCGTGCACTTTTCAGTCGCAGATCCATCCTACTCAGGTTTTGGCTCCCCGTGTGCTTCACAGACCTGCACGGTGAAGTATGGTCGAATAATCCCCAATACGCAACGCCAACGTGGGGGAGGGGGGCCCTCAACCAGTGGTGGAGTGGGAAAAACATGTCTGTACGAGTTCAATCGGAACCAGACCGTAAGCCGTTTGGTGCAACAAAACAACCGCATTGACCAAATCTACCCGCGTTTGCAGAAGCTGCATCAAATACACAGTAGGCAGGGCAGTGTGCACGCACAGCCACCAATAGCAGCATTCGGGGGCACTTGGGATTTGCAGAGATCACTACACGAGTTGGCTTTAACAGCGTGAAAAAAAAACAAGTGCTGGAATGGCTCTGGCGTGTGCCCCGCTTGCACGACACAAAGACGCCAGCAGATGGCTCCATTACTCTAGAAAAGGGGCCCCACTGACAGAACACAGCTCACTGGGGCCTCCTTTAGGGGGGTAGGAGGCTGTGTCCAAAGGGGGGGGGGGCGGTGGGAGGTGGTGGGGGAAGAGGGCGGTATAAACACCACTTCCACTGGCCGGGAGCGGCTATATTTGGAAGTGTTTTCCGTTGCCTGGAGATGTCAACTCCCGGCCGCTGTGGGCCCCCCACCCACCCGCACTCCGCCCCTCCAAACCCGGCTCCCAATTCTACACCAAATCCCCTCTCCCCCTCCTCCCTCAGCAGGCAAGCGAACACACACGAGCACGCATGAAAAAAAGGAAAACCCACGAAGGAATTCTCCACTGCGGAGGGGCTAGAGAAGGACTGGAGAAAAGAGAGAGAGGCCGGGCGGTGGGCAGAGGGGCGATGGATTTTGCAGGATTGTGGGCCAGGGGACTGGACGGGATTGGAAGGCAGAAGGAGACGATGGTTTGCCACCTCCCAAGATTCTAATCGTGGCACAGCCCTCTCATTAATCACCTGAAATAGCCACGCCGTCGTGTGTTTTATCAGGCCAATCAGTAAACAGGCCGCTCGAGCTCTCTCCTGACACATGGGACCCACCAGGCAGTTTCAACAAGGCTATCTTGTTGCAGGGCCAAACAGAGGCCCTGCGGAACTGGGAGGGGGGGGGGGCGTGGAATTAGGGGCTAAAGCCACACAAGAGCACGGCCCCGGCTTGCGCGGCTTAGCAAATTCAACAGGGACTTGTCTCTTATCTCCCTCCCATGGCCTGGCCTGGGCTGGCTCGCTTTGATGTCACGGCCTTAAACCAAATCTCTCATTCCTCTCTCCCACCACTGCCCCCCCCCCATCACCACCGGCCCACACCCCCCCCCCCCCCCGCTCCCACCAGGCAGCCCTTTACCACAATTTTTTTTTCGCTGTTCTCAGGATAAAACCATTAACGCGGACCAGCGGCGGCGGCGGTGGTGGTGGTGGTAGCAGAGCGGCCCCGGCAGGCAGACGAGAGCGCGTAGCCAACCACATGGGCAGAGGGGGGGCCACGGGGCGACTCGGATTATGCAGCTGTTTTGTAAGTGCGTACGTGCGCGCGTAACTCACAAATATGGGGGGGGGGGGGGGGGACACGGGCGGGCGCTATCACGCGGGCGGTCACCACCGAGCCAGCAGCCGTTCTTGCGGCTGCTAAAAAGTCCCCGGGGGGGGGGGGGGGGGTCCTCGACAACAAAAGCGACGCTTCACGAGGCGTAATTCTTCCCCCCGTTGGAGCCTGTTGCCCCCCCCCCCCCTAATAAGAAAAACTCTTCCAAATGCCGCGGGAGTCCAAGTGACCGGCAACAACTGGGGGGGGGGGGTGGGGGGGGAGTTTAAATTCAAGCCAGCTTTTGGTGGCCCGCCGCCCCCCCCCTCCCTCACCACCCCCACACACACACACCCCACCAAATGGCAAGGATTGTTACTCGCGCTCACAGAAAACGGGAGTTTTAACGGGGAACATTCGTGCACCGCTGCTGCTCGAAGGAAATCAATGGGGGGGAGGGGCGAACGGGAGGGGGGAGGGGGCGAGGGTGGGGTCATAAGGAAAAGGAGAAGTAAGAAAAAACGAGAAGCACTTCACGACTGCTGCCCCCCACCCCCCCAATTCCTGCCCTCTCTGCCCCCCCCCCGCCACTAAAATAAAAAATATAATGCGAAGTCTGCAAAAAAAAATAGCCCCTTTGTTTTTGTTTAGCTGTGCAAAGGCCAGTTTTAATTTATGTTGTGCACAGCGGACTTTTGACTGATGGGCCACGCATGTTTTTCTGCAACCGATTACAAATTGTGATTCCGTAATTAAAAGCGATGTTTGACAACGCTGCAACGGGACTTATGTTGGCGCGTGTCCGTTTTTTTTTTTGCCGTGACAGGCACTTCCCCGGCAGCGCCAATTCCTTCGTTAAACCCATCCTCGCGTTCACCAAACCCATCCTCGCGTTCACCAAACCTTTCCCGACGTTGTTCCAAACAGATACGCGCGCGAAGCCATGAAAACGCAAGGCGGATCAATGCTTGCTGCCGCAAAACTTGGAACAAGCGCGTAAATTATTTCCGCTTGTGTTTTTCCAACAAGCGTATCCCACCTCGTATATGTTGGTGGTGGTTGTTAGGCACACGGTCCCACACCTTTCAGGCAGCAAAGTGATAACTGGAAAACCATAATGGGCTTTCGTAACGGGCGTCCAAAACCATAACGGGTGGAAACTATTACGTAAGCCAACACACACCGGTGTTTTGCCGTCAATACACAAATTAAATTTAAAGCTCGAGACTATCCAGCCACCACGGTAAACAATCTGCTGCGTAGATTTTGCGAATGCGCAGGCAGAGCCACAAAGCGCTTTCGCGGCCTTCACCGCAAGTTATTCGGCACGAAGTCCGACGTTTCGCTCGACGCGCTGGGGAGTGCTTCATCGGGAACTCCACGTGCTTTGGGAGCAAAGCATTTGGAGACGGTGGCGACCAACTCGGTGTAGAATCCGTCGTCGTTTTCCTCGCTAATTGTTGTCGGATTGTACACCGCGGATTGTCGGTGGCGGGGGGTTTCGGCTGACGGGACGCACCGCAATTAACGTGAACGACCCGTTTGGGGGGGGGGGCAGGTGGGATGGGGGGGGGTGTTGGGTGGACGTGGTGGCTCGGCTCACCGCGTCGCTGTTGGTGATCTTGGCGAGGGTGTCGGTGAGCGAGGAAAACGACAGTCGCTCGTCCTGCCGGTCGAGCCGCAGGCCCTGCACGGCCGCCCCCACGCTGCCAGTGGCGATCATGGAGGGCGGGTACATGGCGAACTTGAAGTCTGCACACGCACGCAACGGAGCAACGCACGTGCACAGGTTAGTCTCCTGCGCCACCTAGGGGATGGCTTCTCCCCCCCCATCCTCTCCCTGGCTTCACCACACCATACTTCACCAGCCCTCCCACGGAAAGCAAAGAGACCCTTACAAGCGAAAGCTCGTGGACGGACGGAGGCACGGAGGGGTTAATGCGAACGCAATGTTTGACCGACCTTTACACTGTAAAAGTGTTCAAAGATCTGCGGCGGTCACAAACTCTGGTTGCAAAAACAAAGATGGAAAAAACTATCGTGCGTATATCCAGCGGTTATGTAAAGTGTAAATCTATACCATCGTGTGTTAAAAAATGCCAAGAAGTGGACTGAGGAATTGCAAAATGATTTAGACTCTGCAGCACTGACATTACTTGTTTTTGTTATTTTTTCTGTATTGGTTTTTTGGACATTTAGCTTAAACGTGGCAAGCTTATTTTACGCACAAGTCATCCGCCTGTTCAGCTAAAACCGCAAACACGTATATAAATGTATTTTCCATCTTAAGGTTGGGGGGGGGGGGGGTACAAATTGCCAGAGCAAGCCCAATTTCCAAAACATCATCATGGTGCAGAGCGAAATGACGAACGCAAAGTAAATCTGTCGCTCAAACAACCACACTTTTAACTCTGCTCTCTCCGAGGCATTACCATGCAAACGCTGGCGGCAACAACAACAACCCAACATTGCACAAATGTCACGCGAGCGAGACGCTTAAGCGAGTTTGCGATTTTCTAAGAGAACGGCATAGTTGCTACAACCTAATTGGTTATGACATTTGGATGGCGCTCATTTTAAATGGATTTTTCCAGCCGCTCACTTTATACCCAACGTATGTACACACACACACACACACAACGCATCAATTCACACTACGCAACACATAGCAGCTACAAGTGCTACGTAATAACCCTGCTGTTGCTAGGCAGAGATGGGCCAGCTGTTGCTAGGGAGAGATCCGTTTAGGAATGAGATGAGAATGAGCCACAAACGGCAAATGTAATTTTCAACAATGGAGACGCTAAATAAATAACATAGAAAAAAATAAAACCGTGGAATCCGTGTTTAAATTTGTACATCTGTGGTGGCACCAAATTGGGGGTTGGAGTTTATTATTTTTAAAACGGGACAAGCCGCGGAGATTGGATCGATGCGGTGAATACGTTTGTTGTGGCAAATCAGGTAATAGAGAGCGCCTCACACACACGCTAACGATGTCACCACTTAATAACTTTACTGTTCAACTCTTTTGTCAACACAATGGTGAAAGGTCATCAAGCACCGGTTCAGTATCACTTGCCGCCGATGTTCGCCCGCGGATGGGAATCAAACTCGTGACACGTTTGTTCATAGTGCAGTGTGCTAACCAATGTGCTGCCACTCCATTTGCCGACAATTAGTATTGCAAATACAAATATATACATATTTCTACGTACATTTCTGTTGCTTACGCGTGTCTAAAATCGTAGTGTCGAAATGTCCTGCCAGGTAGCGATGTGGGCAGAGTGCTCTACTCACAAATCGCAAACAATGAATCAGCGCCACCTAGCGAAAGAGCCGATAGCGGTCGTGATAATAGAATTGTCCCTGCCATAAGAATGTGGAATGTGCACCGCTGAATAAAGCTCGCCGATAGGGATGAATCGCCTCGCACCATTCGTTTGAGCAGAGGGCGAACCAAACTTTATGACTATGATATCCAAACGTATTTATTCTAGATTTTAAGCTTTCGTGACTGCAAGGAATCATATTCTTAGGTTTTTTCGGTAAAGTCACGTTGGTAAAAAAAAATAATAAAGTAAAATTAAAATAAAATAAAAATCACGACGTTTCGGAGGCAACACAAGCTTCCGTCTTCAGGTGGAACCGTCACAGCACGATAGCTGTATCAAGTGAGAGAAATTCCAAGAAAACAGTCCTTGTATATATACTGGTTGAGGGTGGGAGGAGCCAAGGTAGGCCCTGAATATTATTTTTGTGAGGTTCGGTGCGGCTTTTTTTGTTTTTACCAACGTGACTTTACCGAAAAAACCTAAGAATAAGATATCCAAACGGTTGCAACCCACCTAAAATGCTGTCACTTTCATTCGAAAGGGTGGTGCGCGGTGGCGTAGTAGTCGGAACACCGAGTTTTGAATCCGTCTACGGCGAACCTCAGTGGCGAGTGTTATCCGCGCAGTGTTCTGGATGGCCTGTGTCTCTCTCTCCCCTTTCACCAACCCACACACTGCCCAGCAGTGTTGACGTGTGAGCAAACAGCCACCAAATGTCTGACATGGCAAGGGGGGGGGGGGGAGAGGCCTTCATCCAGCAGTGTAAAAATGTATTTTAAAATAAAGCACGCACTGTACACTGGATTTTAAATAAATACGCACCGCTAAGGCTGTAACAAAAACCGGTTCCAAATGGTTAAACAGTCAACGGAAGGCCAGCGAGTGAGAAAGCCCCGTTTTCAACTGAAATCACTTTGCACGCTGGAAGGCATACGTGTACATGGCATGAGATCATGGCCACATGGTATCAGCTTTAACTGAGCGTTAAAATGTTTTAAAACGATTTGACTTTCAAAAAAAAAGTGCCGGAGAAAGCAGCGGACAGAATTGACGTTTCAAAGGATTTGACCTCATTGGCTTGCAAACATGAAAAGGAGAGTGACCGCAGTTTTATGTAGAACTAAATAAAGTGTCTTTTGTTTTAATGGTGGTATTCACATGCTAAATCAATTATGTGGGGGGGGGGGGGGGGGAGGTCTTCAGTAATTTAAAGAAAAGAAACTTTTGACTTTCAGGAAGTTTCTGCCAAATCTGAAACAATGTTTCTCCAGGCTACAAATTCCCTTGCCTTATCTTTTCATCGCGCACATATGAAACTCGTAAATTTACGAAATGAACTAACTAAAAAAAACGAATACGTGAATATATAAATAACACGGCCGCGCTGATTTATTTTAGCCGGGGTTTGCGCGCTTGCGACGTAACCTTCGGAGCCCCAAGTCTTTCGATTGAGGCCACCCAAACGTGCAATGATCATTCAATTAATTGCCAATTCGAACGAGGGAGTCGCGGCACTGAACACAACGTAGGCAACGGCTCTTTGGGTTGCATTATACGCAGCAGAAAGACCGTCCCCCCTACTCATTCCAACTCCTAATACGGCAACCGTTTTCAGACACAAGTCGGGAGAGAGAAAAATAAATTAATCGAAGTCCGCCTTGCATGCATTCTGCACGCAGCAGTGCGGTTGTCCCAGTGCAATTTCTGGTTGTAAACAGAATTGACAAAATATCACGGTCAATTAATTCACGGTTATCGGCAGCACCAACGAAAGATTAAATTGAAATGCGCGCGGATTGAATTAAGAGCTCGTGGGGAACATGCTTGAAAACTACAGTGCGCGGGAAAAGAAAGTGCTCTTGCACACTTCACGCCTCTATATAGGGCGCACGGACAAAAATGCAAACACACAAAAGCGTTGGGTCGCACACTAAGCACCATTGTTTTAGAAACTAGCACAACACAGCTGTCCAGAGGTATTTCTTGTGACGTTACCAATGGTAAATTGCCACCGTGAACTTTGCCTGTCACCAGCAGCCACCGTGGATTACAGTTCCACATCCCACTGACCATTTAAACAAGGACTGAGGGCCCATTGTAAATAATAACCAATACAAGTGCAATATAGTAAGCTTTTAACGGTTTAGGACTTTCCCTTCAAGGTTGGCATTTTATTGTGCTTCTCAACGCTGTCGATTGCGTTACTGGTTATACGTGAAAGGGAATTGCAAGAGTTCCCATCAGATACTGCCGCTAAAAAACAGGGAGAAAGTGGTTCTAAACGCTTTTTCGCATGCACAAGGCACCCCCCTCCCCTCCCCATTTATACGGAAATGGACTGGCTGTAAAGAACGAAGTATCGCACCTGAAACCCGACTTTGTTGCATAGGAAATGCAGAGCAGCAGGATGATTCACATGCAGTTGATGAAATGTGCAATCGTATAATGAACAAAAAAAAGCCGTGGGTCGTGGTCATCATAAATGTTTAAAATCCTCAAGGAATTGACGCAGTTCACGTGAATTACGCTCTACGTTAAATAATGTAATATTAACAAATAAAGGTACAGTATTCAATAATTAAACTGCGACCTAAGGTTTGGGGCACGAGTAGATTTCAAACGGTGTTTTTGCTTTCAGAAATTGTGTTCATTTCTTTGATTCACGTCTACTTTCATGCCAATATAACGACGTAGTTAAGGTTATTTGCTGTTTAGGAACATGTCTGCATTACAGTTGAGCAAAACATGTGCACGTTACTGTACAGTAACGTTATATTACAATGCCTAACCGGCTATTTTAAGAGCCGATTCTTTTCTTAAATGGTGTATTGGCAGTTGGAAGGCGTTTCTTTTTCATTTTAACACAAGCGCGTGTAAATTTGAGCAAAAGGCCGGGCAAAAAATATGTCCACTTCCTTTGCGGAAACGTCAACAGCATTTGTTTCCGTGTAGATTAATACAGCGGGATGATGCATAGGGAGTTGCTTAAGAAGCTTCATCGTATTGGGAATAGGTTCGTATGAACAGCATCAAGAACAGCTGTAGGCAAAGTTAACCCCCCCCCCCGAGAGCGGACATCATGCAGCAGGTCTGCCACACTCAGCGCAGTCAAGTCCATCCGTTCTGAATAGTCTGTTGGCGCTAGTTACCGCGGGGTTTTAAGGATGACTTAATTCGTGGCACATCCTTGTTCGGGCTTCCTTCATCTGCTTTTCACTTTAAAAAGAATACACACACCGACGTAATTATTTGTCGGGACTATGCTCTTATCTAATAAAAACAAAATCCGATTCAAGCACAGACATATTTGTTTATAATATTAAAATGGCCACACATTTTTGTTCAGCTTTTTTTTTACTGTACGTGCAGTTGCCAAGACGGCAGCAGCATTGAATATAAATAAAGCAAAGACATAAACAATAAAAGCGGTTTAATTTACGGCTTCATTCCGTCATGCATATAGTGACTGCATGTGTCGTTTTGACTGGACATTTTTGTTTTGGAAGAGCAATCAATCGGTCAGCTCATGGCCGGCCGTGTGAAAAGTGCCAGTTGCAAGAGCAGCTACGCTGCACGTCGAAGCGCCTCTCAAATGGGATGGGATTATCACAGAGTGCGGCGATGTCTCCCATCAGACAGCTCAATGAGCGTACTAAAAAGCCAAAGCCATTTACACATCTCAATAAGTGCGGGGCAGTGGTACTGGTCGGCGTCGTGTGATTCCAAGAACACAGGATGAGATGTTACTATCCTTTGTGCAAGCACTTCCAAGAGTTCATGAACAGTGAGCCTGGTGAAATTTGGGGAGCGCATCGTCAGTAGTGTACCTTTGGTTCCTAGGGTGTTTCGGCCTTTCACACTATACACCCTCCCCAAAGGGGGCCAGCGACAGGGTGATCAATCCTACGCTTGCGTCTCATTCCCAATTAGTCATAGGAGTTGCCTTGTTATTGATAGCCAACATCCCACGGGACTATGCATGGCAGGGGCGTCCTCCTCCCTGAGTCAAGCATTGTTGGCCATAGACACCGACAAACCGATGGTAAACCTCAATATCAGAATCGGTCCTGCCCCCCACGACCCATCCACCAACCCACTGAGCAGCTTGGTGAAGTATGGTCAAAATAACCCCACAACTAACACGGCATGCAGGAAAGCCATCATCCACTGGTTGATTGATAATGGCTGTAACTTATTTGAATATTTCTAATCAACTCAATATGCTCAACAACACTGCAAAATTGCTGATATGAACTGTATTGGATTTGAAATGTCATTCCTATTTTTATTTCACAACATAACAAAGCTTCAAATGTAAGCTGCATGCATGTTAAACCCCACCAACTGAAAAGGACGCATTTGCTTTATAAGAACATTTACACTGGGGTGCATACCAATGACAAATGTCAAATCTAAAGTCTCAATACAGCTTGAGAGTGGCGTACGCACGCTAGTCACAAGCTGTTGCAATACAGGGCAAGTCGCAATAACTACCGCTAGGTAGCGCCACTCAATCAGAGCACACCCCAAGGCCACACACACACAGACGCGTAGAATGAGAGTGGGCTGGTCGCCAAACACAGGCAGGGCCCCTCTCAAAGGCACACATTATTTTCAGGCAATTTATGTATGAAACTGCAAAAGCCTCCCCCCACCACGCCACTGCTGCTTTCCCTCTCCGCCGAAAAAAGTCCCCCCCCCCCACTCAACACCGATAGCGCCAGGGGGAGATGCGGATTAAGCAAGGCGGCGCATATTTAACGCTTGCGCCGGGCAAAAACGCGAGGCCCAATTTCCTGAAAAGTGGCCACATATCCTACGCCACTGTCCAAAATGGCTTACGGGACTGCAAACAATTTTGTCCCACAATGAATCATCATCAGCATCCTTTAAACCGCATTTCCACATGCCATCACATACCAGCTGCCTTTGTAAAACTCGTTTTTTATTTCTTGCACACCCTGTCCCCACAAACCACACGTCCCAAGTGCTGTGCGCTATATGCCACAGTACGTGTTAAAAAATGGCTTAGGCAAGAAAACTTATCAGATGGGTTTTGGTTTGGCTATTTCCGTAATAGAAATATGACAACATTTCTCCATTTCACAATGTTTGCACCCAATACAATCTTAAAAGTGCGGTATGCATTGAAGCTTGTACGTACGCACTGAGCGCCTGTTTAGAGCGCTATTAATGGGGTAAAGGAGGCACGGATTGCTGTGTGCGATAACATGTAACAACAGTATTCACTATGCCGCTAGGTCATGTCACCACACTTGGGCGGTGGTGAAGTGCCCTGGCGGTTAGCGCGTTCACCGCTTTTTGCAGAGGTTTGTGGTTCAAATCAAGTGGCCGTCCTGGTTATCGCTGCGTGCGTATTCAATTCAAAACCAAAGCTTCTCAGATGACGTTCACATTGCGACACCGTCATTTGTACGGATAGAAATTAAATGTGCCAAATTTGAAAAAATACCTGGAAATTTAATTGGAATATAGAGAGCAATCATCGATCTCCTACTTGCCAAAAAACTTGGCATGACCCTCTTGACAAAGTCATGAGATTCGGCAAGGCTTTCCTGGGTAAATAAATGGTAGTAATAATAGGTAAACTAATAATCGTTTTTCTGGAGCTTCGTTATAAGAAAGTGCAGGATCATGGCAACTCTTGGTGTGCCCCACCCTACCAACAGTGCCAACACTATACAAACAAGCATGCATATATTTAAAAAAATTACCCGTAAGAAAAAAAACACTACTTCACAAAAAAACTGCTTTGCCAGTGGCATGCAGTCATATGACTAACAGACCACAATGATTAGTCCGACCCCTCTTCTCCACCTTCACAGAAAAAAAAAAGCCCCAAGGTTGGACTGTAAGCGGTGACGCAAAAGCACAAGAACCACATATTTATAGTACGCTCAAGGTAAATATTTCTGCATACCGGTGGCACAGAGAGCAATGAAGGTCTGCGTGTGTTTGCGGATGAGCTGAAGCTTCTCGGCTGGCATGGGCAACTTGCTGAGTATGTGCTCCAAAAAGTCGTGCGGCGTCACGGCCGCCAGGTCCCATTTTAGCCGGCACAGCACCAGTAGTTCCATGTCCTGCCAGACGTGGAAGAACCAAAAAGCCCACGGCGTTACAGGTGGGACTGGCGACGCGCAATCGGCGATGTTTAATCCGATGTCCCCCCCCACAACACCGCATAGCGCTAGCCTCCTTCTCTCTCACTCTCTCGCCGAGGCGGTAACCGTTAGGGGGCAGAATTGTAGCAACGAACGCCGCCAGGGGCAAGCGAGCATTCAGGCGGCTTCACGTCTTTAGTTGGAAGGTGTTCTCAGGGTAACAGAAGCCACAATGACAATGGCAAGATTAAAAAACATCAGATCAAGCGGTATTTTGTAGATTAAATGCGCACGTCAGATGTCGTGACTTCCCAGTTGAGTTTTAAATTTAGTTTCGTTTAAGAGAATTTGACTGTGAACCGTGCGTGTCCACAAGAGGGCGCTCAGAATTTGCTATTCACCTTAAGTTCCTGCAGCGGGCGGCTACAAGTTTTGGGTAGCAACAAAAACTTCCAAGAGCTAAATAAATTACTGTAAAATCACGTTTCATCCGATACGTTCCAATTTTTACACAATTACAGGCCTACGGCTGTGCTTTATCGCGCCGTGTTGTTTGCAAAGCGTTCCTCGAAACGGCCGATTTTTTACAAATTATTCTTTGCAAGGAAGAGCCCACAGAACTGTGCGAGGACGTCAGAAAACGGCATTTTCAAATAATTTCTTGCAAGTTCCAACGGCTAACATTTTAACATAGCGAAATCATTACAAGCTCGCGTTCACTAAATGGAAGAATTAGGTTTTATGGCTGTAGAAAATTAGTAACAGAGCACGCAGTGTGAAGCAGGGGAAAGAAAAGACGCTTTGTGTCGTCGGGTTTAAATCGGGGGCCAGCAAAGAAGGAAGGGGGGGTAAAAAGTTATGGAAGGCGAGTTTCTCATCACCAGCAGCTCTTGGGGTCTGATGGAGTTGTCCGTGTAGATGCACAGCTTTTCGGCGGTCAGGGGGATCGTTTCTCGAAGCTTGGAAGCCAGGAACATGCACGCGGCTCCGAGCAATTGAAGGTGGCTTTTTTTCATGGGCATTACGGCCAAAAACCGGTCCAAATAATTCATTGCCAAGGTGAAGACCTCCTCTTCACATCTCTGGTCTTCGCATACCTACGACAAATTGCGCACCAAAACGTTAAAAACACGCAACTCCAGTTAAAAGGAGATCTTTTTTGTTTGTTGCAAATACATAACAACAATAAATAACGTTGTGTAACTTAACATGTGCAGTATAAATTCAAGATGTTGCAAACCCCCAAGTGAGATAACGAAGTCTGTAAATTACACGCACACCCCACATATGCAACATGTATAAATATTTTCGAGTATTTAATGTTGGGTTTTTTTTGTTGTTGTTGCAAGATGCATTGAAACGACAGTGTTAAGCGAGGACACGAGAGAGTGGTCAGCGGTGGTAACAGGGGCTGTCCCAGGCAAAGAGACGGCCCCCTACATTCCTGATACTCATTCGCTCCGAAATGAATTCAGGTCACAGTCGCAACAAGCGGGCCAACCAAAGGGGGGGTTAGTGGTGGTGGTGGTGGGTTGGTGGTGTGTGGGGCGAGAGCCTTACCCCCCCCCCCACTCGACTTTGTGTGTGTGTGGGGTGGTCCTTTTTTTAGTATACGTTGCAATCTTTTCAAAAAATATTTTAAAAATATAAATAAAATTGCCTGTTGCGATTTTTTGCACCGAATCGATACTGGGGGGGGGGGGGGGGGGTGCGCACACGTTTTTTTCGAACCCCCCCCAGTTGGCGTCTTTCGCACGCCTCGTTCCGTCCTACTGTTTATCAGTCCGTGTGTGCGAGTGCGCGCGGGATCCGACGACGATTTTTTTTTATACCGAGCTCATCCAAGTAGTTTCGGTCAACGCTTTTCAACCGCGCGTCAGCGACGGCGGCAACTTTGTCGCACGCAACAAAGTTGCTCTTTGGGCGAAATTACAGATAATTATTTTTTGGGTTACCGCAAAACGTTAGCAGGGTAAAAAGGATGAATTTAATTGCCCTCTAAAAAAATTTACGACCAAACAAATAACATATTTTGTTTTCAATATAAATAATACATTAAATTAAGTGATAAAATAAAATTAGTGTTGCCCGGAACATTGCCCGTTACACATATATATATTTTTCCCTTTGTAAGGTGAGCGAGGTATTAGAATGTTTTGTTGAGGGGGGGGGGGTTAACACGTTTTAAGTAAACAGTACTCAAAGTGTGCAACCTTTGTAGCAGAGGCAAAAACGAACAAAAAAACACCAAACTGAGGGGCAATTTCCACATCTCTATTCAAGGGCCACTTGTCACCAGATTTTTTTTTGCTGAAATTATTTTGCCTCCAACTTGACCAAAAGAAAAAAGGTTCATCTGCCAACTAAAAAAACTATTTTTTATGACAACTTAATTCAGTGGTAGCAATAATAGGCTTGTTACAACACGAACGTAAAGGTCCTTACACATTTTATTTTATTTTTAACTTTCCTATCTATTTTTTCACAATATTTACAGTTTATTTTGTTTTGTTTTATACCAATACAAAGCACACCGTGCACCACCATGATGCACCTTTATTTAGGTTAAATTCTAATTAAAAGGTTACAAGACATTGCGCGAATTTGGTAATTTAAAAAAACGTTGACAGCTCAGAGTTGACTCAACTGCAGAGGGGTGAGAGATTCAGTATCAAGTCAACCCGCGTGCAACTTCACTCCGCTCATTCTACAAAGATAAACAGCTGGCGATTTCAACGCAAGGGCGACTCGACATCAAGAATGAAGATCTGCCGACTCCTTCAGAAGCCCGACTCAACCTGCGACGGCTCGGCTAAAACACTCACCACAATATAGTAGTAGGTTTTTACCCTTTAAACTGGTACAAAAAGCCACAATGTTGACTCAACTCGAGTTGACCCAAACCGAGTTGACTCAACCGACTTGACTTAATTTGGGGTTACGGTGGAGGGGTTGTGAGTCGACTCGATACTCAACACGGCATCAGCCCGGGTCCGACACGCCGATCCTTGAAATGGAATCAACTTTGAGGCGACTTCAACAACGAAAGTCGCATGGCGCAGTCGGGGAAAACGCACTCAAGATGGTGAAAAATCCTGGCACGCAGCGCGCACGACTTGCATACGTGAGCGCGTTTGTCACTGCTGCTGCTATTATTATTATTCGGGTTATTTAAAAAAAAAAACTAACTTTCTGTTTCTCTCGTCAATATAGTTGTGTAGTGTTCGGACGTTGTGTTGTTCGGGTACATTGTGTATGGTTTAGTTTATTTGCAAAGGCCGCTTTCTCTCTCTCTCTCTTGGCCCCTTTGCTCGGTCGGTAATTTTCCACAGAAATAACAAAAAAGTTGACTCGAGACGACAGCACGAACAACAACAACATCGTCGTCAACCACAACCTCCGCAACAACTTACATCAACAATATAACACCGACAGATACGAACTGTTACGTTGTATGAACACATCCATATCACGAAGATAACTGTAACAAAAAAACACAGCAACAATAATCGGACAATTTTAAAAGGTTGATTTTAAAAAGATGTTATATTATTTGTTACAATAATTGAACACAAATTATCTTCCCTCATTAGCAAATTTGAATAGACTACCTATTACAATATTAACTTAATAAAAAAAATGTTTAACAGTGGCTCTTAGTACTTTGGTATGAAGTCTTGTACATTACTGCTGGGCCGATCCTAAGAGTCAACTGAATACGACCCATACTTCACCCTAAAGTATTACCCCTACCAATCACTTTACTACAAGTTCCTGGGTACAGGTCCAGAGATTACAATGCCTTGGGTGGGCAGAGTGGATTTCATTAATTTCCTCCATCTCCTCGAGAAACTGCAGAAAGTTGCGTGTGAAACCAAGGCGACTAAAAACTGGAATTTTAGACCACTGCGCGTTCCAGTCCAATAGCAGTAAACCACCACTTTACACGTATAGCAGCATCGCGGCAAAAGTCAGCTGTTGCAAGCTGTTTGCAAGCTGTTTGCCAGCTGTTTGCTAAGTTTGATACAGCAAACCAAGTCAACATCAACAGCAAGCAGCCCCAACAGCAACTTTCACAGCGACAGCGCAAATCGAAGCCGTAACTTCAAACGCCCTTTTATTGGCAGTAAAATACGCAGCGTGCTTTTCCCCTCCCAGCTAAAGGCGGCCCCCTGCTTAAAGAATTGCCCAACTCGCTGTATACGTGTACACAACTACATGTGTGTGTGTACACGCACAATGCATGTACACACACACAAATGCATACGTGTGTGTGTACACGCACAATGCACACACACACAAATACATACATTGTGTGTACGCACAGACGTTATCCGTGTGTGTGTGTGTGTTGGACTCGAATGTACGCATCGGTGTACGTGTACACACATCTGCCGTGTGTGTACTCTCGCAATGTTATGTATCTGTGTGTGCACGTGGTTTGTGTGTGCACATGCGATTGTGTACGTGACGCGCGCGTGTACATCGATGGTGCATTGGAACGGGTACGGCTAATGTACACACACAGCACCATCACACACTGGCATCTGTCCATCAAGTGTATACGCCTGTGTAAACAACCACTTGCAAGACAGGCGGGGTTATATTAGTGTACGCACACATAATCGATAGGCGATCACCACACCGATGTATAGAACGCATTATGCCCATGCACCTGCTTTATTATTTAGATGTGCATGCTTTATACACACACACACACAACGTGCGTATACTTCAAGGTGTACAAGAAGGCCGCCGAAAATTGCACGTAGACAACACGTGCGAAGCTGGGTCGGGATGATTGGTGTCACGTATTTAACAAGGTGATTATTATCCTTTTGAAATGTGGACTCCTCTTGCAAACCCGTGCAAGTGTTTCCTGCATTCCCAGGTAGTTGTGTGAGTGTGTACACAGCGTGTCCTGGCCTAGCCACTGCTGCATGAAAGCCTCTCCCTCCCCCCCATGCACGGAGTTTGCATTTAAAACTCAAGACAATTTGATTACTTGTCGCTAGCGAATGTACACACACACACACAGAGAGCGGTATCATTAAGGCTGTGCACGAATAGTAATGCTTACAATATATTAACAAGCACGCGTAAACCATATAGCACTAATACAGATACAAACACATGTTCACGTTTACAATTAACGATACGCATATTTGATTTCACGTTACTTTAATCTACAGTATACAGACGGTAACTAATGTATGCGTAAGGCTACAGTATGGAGTAGACACACACACACTAAATGTGTACACGTGCACACACACGTGCATCACACACGGCGAATACAAACACCGCGTTTACAAAGTACAAAGACTGCAGCAACATCACAAGCACACAAAGAGTTTACAAATCTCGCAAGTACACACACACGCAATGTGCACAATACAAACATATGTACACACACTCACGCCAACACACACACGCAGTACCCTGAAATGTACCCCCATCACACACACACACACGGATCTCTACAACAGTAAGCAGCGCAATGAGTGATAGAAAGTTGGTGATGGTGGTGGCATGGCTGGTGCACGAGTTGCTTACAAATGTCGTAGTAGTTAGTGGGTGGCATGTTGAGTAAGTAAGTAGCAGGTGATGGTGGTGGTGTTAAGGGTGAGGGTAGGTAGTAGTGGTTGTGTATCGGTACGAAATGGAGGCTAAGGTTTGTACCCCGTGTGTGGTGCTCTGGTGATGGTTGGTAGTGGCAGTAGCGGTGGTAAGTGGGTCTTAGGGTTATGGTAGATGCGTGGTGGAGGTAGTTAGTACGGTGGTTGGTGGTGATAGTGATGATGTTGGTGGTGATAGTGATGCTGGTAGTGATTATGATAGTGATGGTGATAGTGATGATGATGATTATGATAGTGATGATGGTGGTGATATTGATGGTGATGATTATGATAGTGATGATGGTGGTGATATTGATGGTGATGATTATGATAGTGATGATGGTGGTGATATTGATGATAGTGATGATGGTGGTGGTGATGGTTATGATAGTGATGTTGGTGATGATGGTAGTGATGTTGGTAATGATGGTGATATTGGTAATGATGGTGATATTGGTGATGATTATGATAGTTGATATTGGTGATGATGGTAGTGATATTGGTGATGATGGTAGTGATGTTGGTGATGATAGTGATGTTGGTGATGATAGTGATGTTGGTGATGATAGTGATGATGGTGATATTGGTGATGATTATGATAGTGATGTTGATGATGGTGATAGTGATGATTATGACAGTGATGATGGCGATGATGGTGGTGATGGTGATAGTGATGATTATGATAGTGATGATGTTGGTGGCGATGTTGGTCGAAGATGGGTCGCACACGCTACCTCCAGCATCCACGTGGCGACCATCCTGCGCATGAAGGGCTGGATGTCGGTCTGCACGCACTTGAAGTACGACGCCCTGGGTACGTATCGCTCCTCCACGCTCAGCAAGTTTGGCAGGACCCTCTTGTCCTGCAGGAGGTGCCCATCCACGTAAGCCCTCTTGATGCGACCTCCCTCGCCGCATATCAACTCCATTCCTTCTTGGGGGTGGGTTGCCCTCCTTCCTTTTCACTGCTTCTTGCTCCTTTTCGTCGACGAAAAGTTGTTAAAGTCACACAATCTTTATAGCTGGTGGTGGTGGTGGTGTGGTTGATTCGTCCCTTCTTCCGCTCTAAGAATGATTTTTTTAAACTTTGATGAAATTATGTAGTAGTCTGAGCAATTGTCTTCGATTTAAAATGTTTGGTTTGTAATTTAATGTTTATTTTCTAATTTATTTGATTTTTTTTTCGTGGCCTTTTATTAATTTCTTAAGCTCGTCTTCGCCCCAACAACAGCAGCAGCCAATGGTATTGATGCCCTACTGCTGTACACGTTTTATTCTGTTACGGTCTCTGCCTCTCTTACTTTTGCGTTACATTTATATATTATTGCTAAGTTTACTTTAACGCTTTCTTAGTTAATTACGTATTACGCTTCGTCTGCTATTCCCGTTAAAAAAAACTGCATTTAATACGGAAAAATTGCAATAATTACCAGCTTTCACTACACACGTGTTCCTTTATTATAACAATAATCTTCGCGTCTGTTCCTATTAAGTGTATAATTCATAAATTATGCAGCAAATTATAAATATAACTTTTGTTGGGTAAAAAATAAAAAGTCCCGCGACACCCCCCCCAAAAAAAGTCTTAAGTTTTTTAAAGGTTTCGACGTGTTTACGTGCTCTCCTTGTTGTGCCGTGCGCCGGTTACAAATAAATAACATATATAACAATAGTAATATTATCAATGGTGAGAAGGGAGAAAAGAGTGTCCGACTGCGAAGCTCGCGCCGCGTGTGTGAGCGCGCACAGCAGCACCGAGCTCACGGCCGCGAAACCTCCCCCCCCCACCCTCTCGTGCTTATATAAGCAATGGTCCCGTGACGTCACCGCACTGGGACACGCCCTCTTCCCCCTCCCTCTCCTACGCCCCGCCCTCATGCCCATATTAGGAGGTGACGTTCACGAGCCCCCACCCACCATTGCCACTCACCGAGCGTCAAGCTCCGCCCCCCCCACCGCATACGGAGCTAGAGTCCGCGTCAAATTATAAATATAACTTTTACAATTATTATTGTTCAACACTTTCTCTAGCTCGGGTTTAACTAATTGAATTACTGTATGTTGACACACTGCGCTGGCGTTGGTGCAAGAAGTACATTATATTTACACGAGTAAGTCAACAGGGTGTGCGTCTGTAAACCCCGCAAAGGAATCGGGATCAGAATATTAATCTTTACAGGAGGAATCCGATGAGCTATTAAGCTCTTTGTTTTCACATGTCCTGCAGGGGCTGTGTTAGAACGTTACAACAGCAGTGGCAGAGTTTAGGAAAGGTCAGGAAATCACTTTAAAGACGTTCAAATAAAAATCAACTATTTTGTGTGCGACGTTTCGGACAATGCCCCGTCTTCGTGACACGTACATGGAGCTTGATGATAATCGACTTCTTAGAAATGTTTCTAGATTAATTGGGATATGAGCAGTTAAACTATTAGTAGCCCTGCAGTAGCAGACAAACGCTGCAACAATCAAATACATCTAACTGGATAATCGAATTTGTAGTAACAGTACAATTCTAAAGTGTAAGTTTATTGTTCACATGTATAAAGTTTTTACACTGTATATACAATTAACGCAATAATGCCATGATTGTCCTTATAGTAGGTTGCACTGCCAACGCAGCATCGACAAATAATTTAAGGCTCTTTGTTTAATTAATGAAACGTTAAGATTGTATTTAATACTGGGAGCTGCGTTCTTTCTAAACGTATTTGCCTCTCATTGTTTGACTCAAAACGAGAACCCATTGAGAGGGAAATGCATGAGAATATGCCCCTTAACTCACGCCTAATGTTGTAATGTTAAACGTTTATTCGGAAGGGATTTACAAATGCACGCAAATTAGTCGAACACTGCACATCGACTATACTTGGCCCCGGAAGCTGCTTCACGTAAAAATTTTAACATCGTAAATATTTATTGTTTTAATTCCGTTAAAATAAATGCATATACTACATTCAAAATAAAACAAAACTCATTCCCATATTTTAACATCATCCTCTGCATCCTGTTTGGCAAAAGAATAATGAACGTTGTACAATAGGATGCCAAAAGGTGGACATGTTGCGCATCATGGCATAATGTGCGACGTTTCGGGGCACTGGCCCTTCTTCATTGCATAAAGGGCTATTGCAAGAAACGTGGCCTGTTTAAAATATTTATTTAAAAAAAACCCCACCACATTATAAAACATCGACGAATGTGTGTCGGGGATATGTTTTATTGTTGTTGCTTTGTACTTTTGCACTTATTTTTTGCATCACCAGATAGAAACGGTTACATTTTTAGTAACTACTTCAGAATGAAGAAACAACAGAAAAGACTACGGTCCTCTAACTCTCCCCCCCCCCCTTCGCCCCCTCCCCCTTCGCCCCCTCCCCCTTTGCCCCCACCCCTCCCCCTTTCCCCCCTCCCCCCTCTCCCCTCCCCCCAATGGCCCCCGCCACTAAGGGCCACGTGTCTGCAAAGTTCCATGGGCTCGCGTGGTGCTCAGTTCAACGACTCAATCGCTGCACGTACTTTTTATTCGGAGCGAATTCGACTTGCTGAACAAGCGACGTTTTTTTTAATTTATCACGGTTCAAGCCAAACAACTGTTTGACCCCGATGGCAAAGCTCGGTTTACGGAGAGGAATTTTTCTGTGTGTGTGTGTTTTATTTCCTACGCGATATTTATACAATGCCGGGAGTCGTATTGTAGTCGTGTGGCAATTCCCATGAATATAGTTCGGACACATTTTTAATAAAGAATGCAATACAATATAACCTAGCTTAATTCACGAAACATGAAATCGTATCTGGTACATATTCAGTCGTGCCCTTTACGCTAAGTAACACATCGTAAAAAACGAAAACAATGCGACCGAATGTATTTCCTTTGTCTCAATTTAAACCCTACATTTTCTCCCATCATATACTCATAGCGCCACGTGCCTTAAACGGACGTAGCTGTGAAGACATATATAATGGCATGGGGTGCATTAGACGGATGGCCTGTTGGCATTGTTACTGTGTATTGCCTTTTTGATTGTTAACAACAAAAAACTAAAGTTAGAAGCCCTGGTGGGTCTAAAGTTGGGTGTTATGGCCAACCGCAGCGCCCCCTATACACGTGTCATTCCTGACGAGCCAAGACAAAGCCTTCTGGGGCCTTATCGGGATTGCCTTTTGTCGGACGTGTAACATGGCTGGGATGAGTGTAACGTGTGAAATGCGTGTCCTGTAGTATGTAGATGTTTGTGGTCTCCACTGCTGGATGAAAGGGGGCCCTCTCCCGACTTCGTGCCGTTCATGGGGGACTTTGTTTGGTCATACTTCACGCTGGTCAGTGCGGGTTGGTGAGTGACTTGAGACAGACTTTTTGGAGTGAATCAAGATTTGTAGGGCTAAAGTGTTGGCAATGGCTGAATTTAAAGTAAATATAATTGAGTCTGCTTCAATGCGTTGTTCTTTGAAACATAGTATATATTTCAGTTGTGAAGTTTCGACATCCGTAGACGTGGTTTTAAATAAAAACATTGCCCAATATATGTGTGCACCCAATTCCATAAACTTCAGTCGTGAAGTTACTCGCGTATTACTATTTAGTAATATGCAAGTCCTACAATTTGTGCACATCTTACATGATTCGCGTTTCCCAATTTGTGCATAATTTACGTTACACTCTTATCTTCTGCCAACGCAAATCACATTAAAAAGACTTTACAGCATTTGCCGCGCTGCCCACGCCGCTCCAATGTATGCAGTTCTTTTTCTGCCCGGCAACAGCTGCGTCTAAAAAAATATATATATAAAACCATAATTGGTTACACAACCCCGGAAACGTATAACGTCCCTCGCGAAGGTGGAAATTCAACGTTGCGCTTTGCACACACACACGTGCGCGAATCGTGTAAATTCGCTGGCTTGTGTTATCAAGTGCCCTTTGTCGAACTTCGTTGCGACGTTGGATTTGCCGTCGTTGGGAGTTGCACGGGAAACGTCGAATTAAAATTGAACCGATTGAGATTTTTTTCGTGTTTAATTGAGAAGTTGGAACTCACATTATTAACAAGCTCCAACGTGTCGCCCCTTCCCAGTAAACGGGGTGGGGGGGGTAAGGGGCGGGGCTAGGCGGGGGGTGGGCGGGGCTAGTCGAAGTGAGTGGGCGGGGCTAGGCGAAGGGGGGTGGGGCGTGTCTTAAAAACAAGGGCGGGTGACGTCATATATGGGCGTGTTCGAAAAATGGCGGCCACCAAGAGCACATGGTTTTTTCTGATCCCCCTCGCTTGCCGATACCGATCGAGATCGTCATTGCGAAAGTAACCCCTCAGGGGCGGAGCAGTAACAAGCAAAATCATAACTGCTATTAATATAACGATTATTAAATTATTGCTATCGCCCTTTTGGTGGTTTTTCTTCATGTCGGGGTTATTTGGCACGCGATTCGAGTTGCAAGGCCTTAGATGCGGCCCGTGTATCCTAGATTTGCCGCCGGGATGAGGCACCGTGCCCCCTGCAGAGCGGCCACGCCGACGAAGGCTTAGCCCCCGCCCACCGCGGTTCGATTTTATGCACATACGTGTTTAAGAGTTACGTGTTTAAGAAAGTCACGTCTACAAACCCGTTGATGCTTGTTAGGCTATTCATATGAACGGCACGCCCTTGATCAATACAATAGGTGTTTGTGCATTATTTTAGTGGTGGGAGTATGCATTGAATGTGGGAGTATCCGTCGTACTTTAATTCTTGCGGCAGGTACATTATAATGTTGGGAGCCGGGTGCGCTTCGTAACGGTAAACGCGAGTTGAGAAAGTTCTAGCTTCGACTGGTTTTTCAGCCGTAGCTTGTGACTGCACCGCGTGCGTCATTAAACATTTACAGTCAACCGCCCTTCCGTCGGGTTGAGTACAACTCTTTGGGTTTGCGACCTGTGTTCACGCATTGCCCGTCGTTACGACGGACGATTGACACGAGTACACGACTGAAAATGTTTCTGACTGCCTTTGGTGGAGGTTTCGTTATTGATTGCAATAACATGTGGCTGATTTCGAGGGTCGCGCAGGCTATTTGATTAATACATTTCATCGCTGCGCCCACCCAGCAACAAGGGAGTGACAGCGATTGGCTGTTTTTTTTGCTTTGCAATAAAGTAATACAAATTCCACAGACACACTTGGTGAGTTTGCATTTCACTTGGCGTTTTTTTTTATAAAGGAGTTGGGAGTTTATGTATCTGTGTAGTGAACGGTTTGTGTGGTTGTACTAAATGTTGGTTACATTTGTACCTGCACGTTCGATACGAAGGAACGCTGTTAAGGAGTCAGACACTATTAAAAGTCATCTGCAGGTTTTAAACAAACTTTAGTGGATAAGCAGGCTAGCGTTAATCACCATCAGCCATCCCCTGCTAAATGAAGTCCTCTAAGAGCAGTCTAAATTCCTCATCCTCCGTTGCAATCAACGAAGCACTTGGAATGCATTTTTACACGCAATTTATTTAATTACAGTACAATTGAATTGCATTATTTACAACAAGAAAGAGCAATGCGTTAATCCAAGAGGAGCTGGTGCTTTAAGGTGGTGAATGCCCTAGGTGTGCATGAATGCAAGTCCAAGGGTCTTTGCATCCGCAATAATATGTTCCATGCCCAATGTCACAGAGGGCACATGCACTGTCTGCGTGTTTGCAGACGTTAAAACACCCGTGCAAGAGTCTTGATATGTGCTGGTGTCCTTGTGTTTAATCACCACGCCTAAAGAACGATACAACTGTTGTAC